GTCACTCCTGCTCTGAGTATCCTATTGATTCTATCTTGCTTTTGTTCCAGTTATGCAATAACTCACTAATGACCTGTTAAATGACCTCAAAGCAGGAAACAAGATGGGACTGAATGAAACTTGGAAGCTCAGGGTAGCAGGAAGGTGTCCCAGCGCCAACTCTAAACTCAACAACTCAACTCAATTTTAGTGCTTATTTTTCATGAGACCAAGATCCATTTGTAGCTTCAACAATTTAAGTCAATTTGAAAGTTATCAAAAACGATTATTTCTAAGGAAATAAATGGGCATATTTCAAAATCATTTCCATATGGTTTCATATTTCTTTGATGATAATAATAAAGTGTTATGTGGATCTTGTCTTTTACTCAGATAGTGAGGGTTTTCGGCTCTGTGTAGTGAGTGAAAAGAGAATTGGAATGATAGCACAAGGTAGAGCATTCTAAATGTGTCTTAACCATAGAGGTGCTGTGTGACCTTGGGTTAATCACCACACTCATTGGCCTTGATTTTTTGTTTGTCAGTAGAGAGCCTAGATAACCTGCTGTTACAGTCTTTGAGCTTATGACATAGTAATCCTTGTGAGAAGATGATCCACATCATTTTTAAATTTTTGGGCACCCATGTTGCCTACCATGGAATCCCAGAGTAGCGAAGGATGTAAAATTCTGTGGTCAGACTGACTTGGATTCAACTTGGAATTCATTTATTTGTTGGCTAAATGTGGGCAAGTTACGTGACCTTCTATGCCTCACTTTTCTCCTATGTACAATGGGACTAATGTAGGGCTGTTGTAAAGATTGAGTGAGATCATCAGTACAAAACCCATAGCACTGAGCTCAGCACAAAGTAAATTCTAAACTGGCATCATGTATTATTATTATGATTACTATCACTGCTACTACTGTTACTACTGTGAGTGCTCAGTAAATGTTTTAGAAAATTGCTGAATGAGTAAATAAATGAATAAATGAAACTGTTATATTATCAATGCTAACAAATTTAATCCCGACTTTCTAAGAAAAAATTTATCCCAGGACTCCTGTTCAACTCTCCCAATTCTTGTTGTCTTCAGTCTGGTCTACAGGCAAGAGAGTTTTAATATTGAATTTAAGAAGAATTATAGACTCAAATGAGAACCATGGTTGTATTTTTTGTCTCCTCCTCCAATCTCCTCTATTGCACCATCAGTTCATTCATTTAACAATTATCTATTGAACCATGATTACTACAAGGTTTATATATTTATCAGTGTTTTAAGGGAAAAACCACATTTTTCTTATAAGTGTTGGATTTAAAATTTTATGTAGTTAAAAAAAAACCCATAGTAAAATTTCTGTAATAAAAAACAAATCCAACAAGATAAACCACTCAAAAAATCTTGACAGCATTTAATACAAGAAAATAAATATATTTGTATTACATTCAAAACTTTCTAAAAATTTCTATTTTTGTTAAGTATAGATTACCCATTTTAAGTCTTTGGGAACATAGGTAGTCAGGCACTCTGAATGTAAATATGTGAAGGTGTAATATATAAAAGCTCAACATATAAAATCGTTGTAGCGTTAAATTGTCATATTGGTACATGTGGAAGAAAAAGCAGCTGCATAGTGAGGAGAAGCTTTAATCCTACTTAGAATATGGTGATCTAAAATTATCAGAAAGAAAAACAGACTTGAGTACTTACAATTTCCTGTATACTCTGGGCACTACTGTAAACTGAAAAATTAGAAACATTTTGGAATTACTATGTGTTTCTCATTTTCTCTGGTCAAATTTGAAAAGTCTCCAGTGACCAGCATGGGGCTTCTCTGATCTACTCTAACTTGCATACTGGATCTTATCATCAGGAACAAAAGAGAAGAGGAAGATTTTATATTGGAAAATTTTCTCTGAAATCTTTATAACTTTAAAAATATTTTATGGGAAATTCTTTTGTTTTCAACTTATGTTTATATTTATCCAAAAATGTTGGATTCTCTCTTTACTCTTTTATATGGAGTAAGCTTTCATGTGGCTCAAAGTGGGGTCTGGATATTTGAATTTGGGTCTTTTATGAGGTTTCTCCTTTTCTTTTTAGAAGATTCTATTCATCCTTTAAGCTCAAATATCAGCTGTTCTCTGAAGGCTTCCAAACCCTTCAGTGCTAGATTTGTAAGTTTAATTTATGTTTTTCAGAGGGTTGTATTAAATTATATCTCATGTTGTAATTATATGTATTTACATGTTGAAACTCAAACAATCCAGAGCTTCTTACGAGTAGGAAATCTGTCTTGTTTTCCTTATAGTCTTTATAGTTTTCTGCTATAGTCTAGCAGAGAATCTAGCTCCTTGTAAAGGCTTATTTAAAGTTAACTTAATAAATGATTAAATAAATTAATGAATAAAATTTGAATTCTAAGAAAAAAATTCTAATGAACAAAATGAAACAGTTGAAAACATTAGATCGTAAATAATTTGGCTTGCCAGGCACTAGGAACAGGACACAGTGTACACGAAGTTTTACCACTGGGGCTCCCACGCTCTCCAGAATATAAATATGAACATCCGTTCAAGGTCTGTTTACCATCGTTTCCTTACAGGTCATGTTAGATAACAAATTCAATTTCCAGGTGGTCTGCTAATTACATTCACTACTCATACTATGGCTACATGGTGGTACTTTAGGTGTCATTTGTCCATGATTTGTAACATTCAACTGGCTTTCTGAAGAACACTTTGCAGTATGCTCTGAATTTGACAGGGTGTTCTGAGTTGCTCTACCAGGGAGTCCCAGAGGATTATAGAATGCCATTGGACAATATGTGTTTCCCAGAGTCTATTCCCTCCCACATTTCTGGAAGACGTCAATAAACTGCCTATAAAAAAAAGGTAGTTAAATATGCATATTATCATTTCAAATACTCTGAGAAGTCTTGCATAAAGAAATCTAGTTAAGCTCCTTTATCTCAAAGGTGCCCAAGCTTATTTGACCAGAGAATCCTCTTTTCAATACAGAAGTGATATTTCCTAGTATAGTAGCCTCCCAAAGACCACGATTTGAGCTCAAAAGCCCAAGACCAGCCTGGGCAACATGGTGAAAACCCATCTCTATAAAAAAAAAAATACAAAAATTAGCTAAGCCTAGTGGCATGTGCTTAGTCCCAGCTACTTGGGTGGGGTAGGGGGAGGGGGACGGAGTTGAGCCTGGGAGGCCAAGGTTACAGTGAGCTGGGACTGCACCACTGCACTTCAGCCTCGGTGACAAAGTAAGACCTTATCTTAAAAAAATAATGAAGTTGGAGGAATATCATCCACAACTTTTCTCCACTTCTACAATTCAACCACTTCTGTTCCCAAGATGTGGTCTGTGCTTTTTTTGCCTCGCCGTCTTTGCTCGTATTTGAAATTCTTTCTTTCATATCCATTCATTTACATCCTACCATTTTTCAAAAGCCTAACACAATGTCACATCTACAAAGTATTTTCTTTTTTTCTTTTTTTCTTTTTTTTTTTGCCTTTGATTTCCTGTAACACTTTCTACAACTTTCTCATGGCTCTTGTAATTTTATTTGTTTTATTTTCAGTTTATGTTTCTCTCCCCTACTGTTGAATACTATGAGTTTGCCTCTCTGGCCTGCACCTTTTTTAGCTGTGGGTATTATTCAGGGTCTTGGCAAAAGCACAATTCACCCTGGATTAGTTCAAATGAAGATACTTCAATGAAGTGGCTACTTATGGAAGTAAAGACAGGGCAAAGGGAGCAAAGAAGCCAGAGAGGCATCCAGGGTCTAGCAACAGTGGGAAGCCATCACTCCTCCGGGAAGGAGGCAGAAAGGAGGAAATACTGTCCCAGAACCCAGCAAGCACAAGCACCTTGGAGGGAAGCTGGCTTGCAATTGCAGAGTAGTTCACAGAGAGTTGCAACTCCTGCAAGAAATGGCTCCCCAAAGGCAGAGGGAGTGAGAAAAAAGCACCCTGACCTCTTCTCTTCCTATTTTGATCTCCTGATGCCTACCAAAGTCAGCTCACAAGGGAGTTGGGTTGTGCTATCTCTATGGACCAGCCTACTGCGCACAGTGCAGGGTAGTGAAGGGTGGAGAACTCATGGAAGGGAGGCAGACAGAAAATAACCAGCATACTGGGAAAGCCTGCATGCATCAAAATAGGAGCAGCGACCAGAACCCTCCTCACAGGGCTGTAAGGAAATTGTAGGAATTATATTAGAAAATGCATCCAAATATTAACATATTGCACAGAGCCTGATTCTCAAATTATTTTAGCTACTCATTATAACAATGCTATAAATAGCTACTGGTATAAAAGCTGATTGAGGGAGATGTCATGCATTGCTCATTTTACAGCTCTTATGCATTCAGCACAGGCCCTAGGAGCAGCAGGGCCATGAATGGGTGCCATCAGGTATGCCATGGGGAGCCATTTTGAACAGAGGTCACAAGGAGACTAGTTTGGCTGTTTTGACTGTAATCATCAGTCAATCTGACCTTGAAAACAAAGAGCAATGTGCTGACTTATTTTTAACTTTCAGCAGATTGTTCTGGCACTTCTTCCCTCCAGCCTGGGCCTCTAGGTTTGTTTCCCTTTGTCTCTTTGTGGAGGTGAAGGCTGCTGAAAAACAAGTGAGCCTGTGAGGAGCGCCCCGCAGCCATCACTGGAAATGGCAGCAATTTGTCACATTGGAAAGCCAGCTAGAGGCAGTTGGCCCAGGGGTTCAGCAGGAGGATTTATACCTATAGAAGCAAATTGCTTCCTCTTCTTTCAGAAGAGTAACCTGTTTTGTTTTTTTTTTCCAAACACAGGATCACCTGGCTCCTTCTGCCCTCAGCACACAGATTAGGGAAACCACAAGAATAATCATTCGTGTTCTTTTCACTTCAAAGCCCTGCAGAATGCCATAAGGGCTGGTTCTCCCACTTGACCCAAGAGAGGTCCTTCCAGGGCTGTGCTGGTTTAAGAAAGCCCTTTTCTGGGAGCTAAGGGAGTGAGGTGGGACTTACCACATGAAGGCAATTCTGTGTCATACGGGGAAGTCACACGGGTACCCTCCACTGCAGCTCTGTGTCTGTGCTCCTGGAGGAAGGGTGAGTTTGCAGGGTGACAGCTCTGTGGAACCTGTCACACTGACAGAGGCAATGAAGGTCACACTGGGACGAGATTCCAGTACTGACACCAGCAGCTGCAGGTAGGGACTTCTCAAGGAGGGGTGACTTTTTTATTTGGGTTTCCAGCAGCCTAAAATTAGTGGGAAGAAGTTAGCCCCTAGATCCTGTGGGATCTCTAAGCAGTTGCTCACATTATCGTCCCTGCCCCTGGGAAATCAAGGCATAAACTCAAACTGTTAATAAGTGGCTCTTATGTCACTACACTCACAAGCCTTACATACTCTTAGTGGGCCAATCTTGAGTCCACTGGTTTTTCCTGGAGCACACAGATATTTGTTATCTTTACTCAAAGCTGGCAGAGCTGCTATTTGGGCAATTGTGTGCAGTCAGGGTGAGGATGGACTTTCCAGACAAGTAGTGGGTCCACTCCATCAAACAGCAGGGTGATAGGTAATACAATTGTTTGAGGATTATGCTGCCAATTAAATGGGCTCTTGCCAGCAATGTGACACCACTCTAAGATGACATGACAATTTTCCTTTTAATATGAAAATGAAAAAGTCACTTGGCTACAATCCAGGAAGAACCAGGAATTCTAAACTATCTAAATTACCATGACCTCACAGTTGTATAAATAGCATATTGGAAAATGAGGTTATTCAAGCTATTTGCTCTTACTAGACAAGAGATGGCAATCTCTCTCCATCTCCTTCTCAGTGCAATAAAATTGAACTCTTAAATCCTTAAAAACCTTCCTGAAGGAAAATTAAAAACAAATAAATGAGAAGCCTTTGATTTGTTAGCATAGCTTTGAAGGGTTGATTGCTGACTTCAAGGCAAATTCCAGTCTTGGTAGCAGTCCCCAACCCCAACTACAATCTGTAATTTTATTATCAGCTCTTTCATCCTCTGCCCAACCCTGCCCAGTGATCTCCAAGCTTCAGGGAAATGAAGTTCACTCAGAGGTTCGGTATTCTTGATTTAAGCGTGCTGGCTATTAACCTTTGAATTTATTCTGATCCTTACCTAACAAGAGAAGAAAGGATGAGTTAGCCAATAAAATGGTTTTGTGTAGTTATGGTTTTAAATAGTACAGGTTGGTGCAAAAGTTACTGCGGCTTTTGCATTGTTGAAATTTACCATTCGTATATTGGAATACATTCTTAAATGTAGTTATGTATCATCTTAATGCACATTTCTCACTTTGTTTTTTTTTTTTGCTGACTTACTACTTGCTGTTATCTTATATTTACTTTAGAATATAAAAATGATGCGAGACAGAAAGCAAACCTGAGCAATTTTCGTATTGAAGTTCAAAATGGGTTGTAAAGCAGCGGAGACAATTTACAACATCAACAACACATTTGGCTCAAAAACTGCTAACAAAGGTACAGTGTAGTGGTGGTTCGAGAAGTTTTGCAAAGGAGAGGAGAGCCTTGAAGATTAGGAGCATAATGGTTGGCCATCAGAAGTTGACAACAACCAGTTGAGAGCAATTATTGAAGCTGAACCTCTTAAAATGACAGGAGAAGTTGCTGAAGAACTCAACATCTACTGTTCTGTAGTTGTTTGGCATTTGAAGCAAATTGGAAAGGTGGAAAAAATCTCAGTAAGCATGCACTCATGTGTGCCTCATGAGCTGAGCAAAAAAAATGTCGTTTTGAAGCATGATGTCTTATTCTACGCAACAATGAACCATTTCTTGACTGGATTGTGACATGCAACAAAAGTGGATTTCATATGACAACCGGTGATGACCAACTCAGTGGCTGGAACTAGAAGAAGCATCAAAGCACTTCCCAAAGGCAAACTTGCACCATAAAAAAAAAAGGTCATGGTCACTATTTGGTGGTCTACTGCCCATCTGATCCACTACAGCTTTCTGAATCCCAGCAAAACCATGATATTTGAGAAGTAAGCTCCGCAAATCGATGAGGTGTACCAAAAACTGAAACACCTGCAGCCGCATAGGTCAACAGAAAGGGCTCGATTTTTCTCCACAACAACGCCTGACTGCATGTTGCACAACCAATGCTTTAAAAGTTGAACAAAGCAGGCTACAATTGCCTCATCCATGATATTCACCTTACTTCTCACCAACCGACTACACTACAACTTCTTCAAGCATTGGACAACTTTTTGCAGGGAAAACGCGTCCTCGACCAGCAGGATTTAGAAAATGCTTTCCAAGAGTTCGTCGAATCCTGAAGCATGGATTTTTACACTACAGAAATAAACTTCTTACTTGTTGGCAAAAATGTGTTGATTGTAATGGCTCCTATTTTGATTAGTAAAGGTGTGTTTGAGCTTAGTTATAATGATTTAAAATTCACGGTCCCAAACCGCAAATACTTTTGCACCAAATTACTTCTGCATTTTTTTTTTTAAAAAAGTACTTAGGGCATTGTTATAATTGGAGTCCATCTTAATATTAATGATCACTTACAATTGATCATGTGCCAGATACTTTCCTCTCCTTATTGCATTTGACCAGATAACCATGAGCAGTAGTAACTTGAATCCCTCTTTTTACTGGCAAGAACCTGAAGCTCCAAACAGTTAAGTAACATTCTCTGTTCAGAGTGTTGGAGAGAGGATGAAAATCCAGGACTCTCTATCCCAAATTCTTATATCATTAAGTTTCCCATGTTGTTTCTGTTAAGATGCTTTTAGATGCAAGTGATGGAAAAACCTCAATTCACTCTAGCTTAAACAATAATAAGGAAATGAATAATTGCACATATCAAGAAGTTCAAGGTCAGGGTAGCTGCAGGTGAGGGGCACTCAAGGGTCCCTCTCTGCTTCTCTTGTTGCCCCCTCTTCTGTATTGACTCAGCCCTCAGGCTTGTGACAAGGTGGAAGGAGATACAAGCAAACATCATATAAAGTTATATACGGAAGACAATCAAAAGGGGGCTTTTCTTATGTCTCTTAGGAGCAACAAATTTATACCACGCCCCAGACCTGTCCTCTTATTGCAATGGCTGGAAGTCAATAGTCATAATACATTCTTTGCTAAACCTATTACTGACAAGGGAATGAAGTTACCTTAGTTAGCCTCAGGTAGGTAGTGTGGAATAATCAGAAGAGCTCTGGACTAGGGTTCAGAGATCTTGAGTTTCAGTCCTAGTTCTGTCGTCTACTTAGTTACTGAAACTTGCTAATTGGTTAGCCTCTCTTAGACCTTACCTTTTCCTTACTGGTAAAAAAGGCCAACAATTCCTGCCATACTGATCTCACCAGGTTGTTGTGAAAGAGGAATGAAGTCATGTCTGTAGAAACATTTTGTAAAGCATTACACACGATTTAAATGCATATTATTGCTTCTATTAACATGATTCAAAGGGAACTGTTGATCGTGAGACACTTTTTCAATTAAACTCATCTGTAGTACTTAATCTCATCAAGATGTTAGTTTAGAAGTTGTATGAGTTTTGCCAAAGACTTACCTAAATTTTACTTTTATGCTGGCAAATTTATAGCATAAAATAGGGGGAAGTATGAAATTTAGATCTTAAAAAAGCCAATTTTCAAGCACTGGATGAACTTCAACAGAAGGTTTATAAAATAAATTAGGATAGCTCAATAAGATTGGTTATTTATAAGTTATTTTAAAGTAGTCATAAAAAGCAAGTTTCCTAAGAAGTTATTATACAACTTTCCTCATCCCTTCATTTATACCAACTCAATAAACATGTAGAAAATATTACCATGGGAGGAGGGGTTGGGATACACAAAAAAAGTAAATCTGAAACAGACCCTGCTGAAAGGACAGTGGCTATCCAGTAGTTAAAAATTCTAGAGATCGGACTAGATAAAGTATATCTGTAAATAGCTATAATAAAATGTAGGAAGAGAAGAGGAAGTAATAGCTCAGTAATGAAGGGACAAAGGGCTGTAACCACTCAGAGGGTGGAGATAAAATTTTCAGCTATGGTGTTTGGGAAGGCTTCATGGACAAGGTGTTACTTGAGTTAGAAGCTGGAAGATGTGGCTGTGGAAATAACAAGTTCACCTGTTCCTATGTATTAAACTTGCTTCAAAAATTTGAATACCCAACCGGAAAGCATAACCTGTGAATATAAATTACATTGAGAAATACAGCAGAAAATAAAAGTTGGAAAGGTGGAGATTGCAGGTAGACTATAGAGGGGCTAGAATATCAGACTCAGGAATTTGAACTTTATTCGGTAGGCAATGAAAGTCAGCGAAAGCTTTTGGGCAGCGTGCCTTCATTGTATCTGTGCTTTATGAGGATTAATTGGGTAGCTTGTGGAAAGGTAGGTGCGAGAGGAGAAAATGAAGTCTGAGAGACAAACTAAGAGTTTGCACATTCAAGCAAGACTTCATGAGAACCCAAACTAGATTATGGACATTGAGATGGAGATGACATAATGGATATGTGATATTCTGGAGGGAGAAACTTTAGGTCTTGGTAATTGATATAAAAATGAGGTGGAGAAAAGGGACCTTTGATTAGGAAGTGATAAAAAGTCACCCAAAGTTGCCTAAATAAAGAAGCAAATTTGGCTGGTTGCAGTGGCTCATGCCTGCAATCCCAGCACTTTGGGAGGCCAAGGCAGGTGGATCTTCTGAGGTCAGGAGTTCAAGACTAGCATGGCCAATATGTTGAAACCCCATCTCTACTAAAAATAAAAAAATTAGGGCACGGTGGTGCACGTCTGCAATCCCAGCTACTAGGGCAGGCTGAGCATCTGATTGGCAAGGCACTGAATGCCAATCAGATGTTAACAAATCATTTAAATAAGGTAATGGCTTGAAAAATAACATGCACCATCTGCCTGATCTGAGTCTTCTCTTTATACAGCACATGTGATGTCTAAAAAGTGTACTTAAATTAAAAGTTTACAAAGTGATTTTGTGTTTGAGGAAAGCTTATCCCTTCCAGAGAATACTATGAAAATTCCTCTGATAAAGAAAAGAATTGTTCATTCTGAGAAGTGAATCTCTTGCCCCGGATCTGATGGGTGCACATTCCCATTTTCACATACTGGATTTGCTTTAAAGCCAGATACTCATGCCTGAGCTGCATGAAGGAAATTGTTGAATCTCATTATAAGACTTTTAAATTTGAGCTCTGTTTTATTAAAAAGAAAATGTCTACTTGAAAAATGTTTGGCTTATGCCTGCAATCTCAGCACTTGGAGAGGCCGAGGCGGGCAGATCGCTTGAGGTTGGGAGTCTGAGACCAGCCTGGCCCACATGGTGAAACCCCATCTCTACTAAAAATACAAAAATTAGCCGGGTGTGGTAGCACATGTCTGTAATCCCAGCTACTTGGGAGGCTAAGGCAGGAGAATCACTTAAACCTGCGAGGCTGAGATTGCAGTGAGTCGAGATTGCACCACTGCACTCCAGCCTGGGTGACAGAGAGAGACTCAAACTCAAAATAATAATTAAAATAAAGTGTTAAAAGCACAAATGCAGCTTGACTCAAGTTGTTACCAAAATCCACACTGCTGTGTGCATAGTTTTAGCTACATGGCAGAGCCACTCCTTCAGTTTTCCGGAATGACTATCATCCTGCTGATGCAAACTGCTATAACACATAATTTGGAATGAGATCAAAAGTTCAAAAATTAGAAAAGAATCTAGGTGGAACACTTGATTTTTGATTCTGCAAAAGCAGATGGGTGTACTGGGCCAGCCAGAGCTGGTTGTCCCAATACAACGCAATCAACAGGTCTTGTAATCAACAGTTCTCTGGAGGCTGCAGCCTTGCTGCAG